AGACCGTTATCTTCATTCATATTTTTGACCTTCAAATCTCCACAGTCTGACAAAATTTGATGTATTATAACAGATTTCTACCATTTTTAAAATTCTCTTCATGCGAAGCAAGTGTTGATACTGGCCACCCGTCATCTCGTTTTCCCATAATCCCACTGCTCTTGATTAGCACTCCTTGGTTTCAGTAATGATGGAGAGCCCTTGATCAACAGTTTTCTTCCAGAAACAATGCAATAGTGCCTCCAAACATTATATATGCATTAGATGACTTTTCTTGCGCTAGTCAAGGGGCTCCTTCATATCGTTAGGCAAGATTAAACAAGCGAAGACGGTGCCGTACATGCGTTTGCCATTAGCATTCTTTAGCAGGAAGCCAAATATTCCAGTTTGCCGGAGCCCGGCACAATCTCCTGCCCTTTGATTAGCCATGGATTAATAGTACCATTCTGGCTTCCTCCAATCCCACACTGCTTTCGGCACAGGTTAGCACATCTTATTATTAAACAAATGAATTAGTGCCTGGAAATGTGTCATGCATATTACCTTGCAGCAGGAGGCACACAGGGCTGGTCAGCTCCCGAGGAGCACGGGAAAGCTCCGGCATGCTCAGCTGACTGTTTGCCTGGCCCTATTAACAGCGCCATGATTTACCGGGGGCCCCTTGTTTGTGCTCGACAACGGAGATGCTGTTCATTCGGGCCAGTGTAAATCAGGCCCAATTAAAGTATTTGGATGTCTGTGACAGGCCCTAACTGCTTAAAATGATACTCAGCCATAAACAGAGACGTGGGGCGGGCAGGGACAGCAGAGGGTGGTCTAACATGAGTTAGCGAGGGGAGTCGCGCTGCATCTTAAATATAAAGCCTATTGTGTGTTAAGTGGCTAACCTCATTAGCACCACGCTCATGATAGAGAAACCCGCTGCGGTAAGGACACTTCGTTGAAATTTTTTTGTAGCCTCGGAAGGTATGTTTATAAGCACAATATTTTCAGATTCTGAACCTTGTTTATATGAATCCTAAACTTCGTAATCCAATTCACATATTTGTGTGAATTACATGTATTCTGAACAAAAGTTCAGTGCTCAGTCACTGTGTTCAGAAGCAGAGAAAGCAGTGCGGTAATGTCACCAAAGCTACCGCGGACATAAACACATCTTGTCTTGCAGATAGAAACCTGACAAATTTGTTAGAAGCAGTGTACCATTATAGTTTTGGTTAATATTCTGAATTTGATTTTATTTTTTATATTTTCTGTTTTTCGTTTTAATAAACATTTTAGTCATTTTTAGTAGATTTTATAAATTTTTTTTTTTTAAATATGTCTATATAGTTTTTACTATATTTTTATTTGTTATTTTTAGTTATTTTAGCACTTCAAGGAAACTAAATGAAAAATAAACCTTACAAATATGCCAGAAACATTGTTTTACTGATGTGCTATTACAGTTTTTGTTAATATTTTGAATTACGTTTTTTTTATATATATATTTTGTGTTTTCACTTTCATTTGTTTTTGCTATTTTTTTTTAGTTTTTTTATGTCTAAAATTTGTATAATTTATTTATTAGTTTTAGTTATTTTAGTACTTCAAGTTAAACTAAATGAAAAATAAACCTGACAAATGTCAAAAACATCATTTCAGTTATATACTATTATAATTTTTTGTTAATATTTTGAATTAGATTTTATTTTTATATTTTCTGTTTTAATTTTAATTGTAGTTAAAACTCAAGAAAATTATTAATTATGAAAACATTAAATCATTTTTTATTACTTTGTTTTTTTAAACGTCTATACAGTTTTTGCCCCCATTTTTCATGAGCTGATCTCAAAGATCTAAGACTTTTTCTATGTACACAAAAGGCCTATTTCTCTCAAATATTGTTCACAAATCTGTCTAAATCTGTGTTAGTGAGCACTTCTCCTTTGCCGAGATAATCCATCCACCTCACAGGTGTGGCATATCAAGATGCTGATTAGACAGCATGATTATTGCACAAGTGTGCCTTAGGCTGGCCACAATAAAAGGCCACTCTAAAATGTGCAGTTTTATCACACAGCACAATGCCACAGATGTCGCAAGTTTTGAGGAGCATGCAATTGGCATACTGACTGCATAAATGTCCACCAGAGCTGTTGCCCGTGAATTGAATGTTCATTTCTCTACCATAAGCCGTCTCCAAAGGCGTTTCAGAGAATTTGGCAGTACATCCAACCAGCCTCACAACCGCAGACCACGTGTAACCACAACAGCCCAGGACCTCCACATCCAGCAGCTTCACCTCCAAGATCGTCTGAGACCAGCCACCAGCTGCTGCAACAATGCAAAAACAAAAGTGTTGCATTTATAATTTTGTTCAGTATATTAGTTGTATTATTTCATTTTAGTTGTTTTAGTACTCAAGCTGAACTAAATAAAAATGAGAAATGTTACCTGGGCAACTAGCTAAAATTTAAATAAATCTATTTATTTTTTCAATAATTTGTTTTATTTCACAACGTTTACTTTATTTCAAGTAAGGAAAATGTTATTTTTTTCTTTCATGGTTTTAGTTTTAGTTAACTATAATAACCCTGGTCAGAAGAACTTTTTAGCCAATATTTAGTAAATTTAGTCTCCTCCACTGACTAATTTGTCAAATGTGAGACGTAAATAAAAATATGCACGTTTGTAAGACATGAAACGTATGTAAACTTGCGTATCACGACACTACACATGTGCACAAGTTATTTTTGAATTCAATTGAGAAAATAGTTGTATTCAAGTGTTTATATGCTTACCATTTTCCTGTTGATTGGATTATTTCAGGTCTACCCCTTCCTTTCCAATTCAATCAAAACTTGATTCAGATCGAGTTCAGTCAGATTGAATGAGGTATTTAATGAAGGTTTTTCAGTCCAAATTAGCCGATTCTAAACAGATTACCTGGGTGCATGTAAGCGTAGCTAATGTCACACCGATCATCTACAATCCATTCACTCCCATCCCCTGCGAATGACCGGACCCCGTTTGTTTCTTGTAAATAACTTTTTTGTATCTGAATTATGTATCCGCTCCTCATTATCCCATTACCTGCCCTTAGGATACTCTTCACATTGTCCTGACATAAAAAAGGTGTTGTTGCTTATCAGTGTGGTAAACACTAATTTAAGCAGGGGTGCGTGGCATGTGGCTGTGATCTTTAGCGGTTTTAGTGGCGTCCTGGGAGACCGAGACGTCCCCCGATGCGTGAGATGAAAGATAGATGGAATGCCCCCTCGCCTGGTCCCAGTTGGTTAAGTGCCTCTCGCTCATTAACAAGGTCTCTACGAGTATGTGGGCCTCGCAGTGCCGCCCAGCCTCTCCTGATCATATTAAAATCAGAGCTCAGCTGATGACGGCATGCTGTTTACCAGAGTGCCCCGTAAGATAGGAAGTGATATTGAGGAGGTGTGTGAGATCGGATGGTTTACTGACGAGGGAGGGTCATGGGCGTATGTCGTTAACCTTAACTTGTAAATTGAGGGTTTGGGGATATTGTGTATATGTTGTCAGTTGATTGTTGAGACATAGTTTTTAGTTTGAAACATGCTTTGATTTATAGATTTTATTATTAATTGTGTTGGTCAGATTTACTGTTGCTTGGCAAAATATTGTGGACGAAATCCATTTGCTTCAATAGGAAACCACCCGATCAGGAGTGTCGCATGAGCGTGAAAAAGTTCCCCACACAGATTTGACTCAGATTCAAGTTGGTCAGGTGAATTCGCAAAGTTGACCAAGAGAAAGCTGCTTGATTTGTAAGTGACTTCTGTTTGAGCTGTGCTTCATTCTTCGCTACACTATCGACAATGGACTGTTGAACATTTTTAGCCCACAAAATCTCCCTACACCTCAGCTGTTTTATTCAGTATTAGGGACTAGATTTACTAGAAAATTATATTTAACTAGGTGATACCATTAAAGTAAAACTACAAAACACCCCAAAAGATATAGACGAGCTGCAACTAAATATTTCAGCAGCAAAAAAAAAAAAAAAAAGTGAAATATGTGTAGGGACTGGGACTCCAATAAATTGATGTAAGGAATCAAATGAATTTGTGCAGGTATTCCAAATTAATTTGTGCAATGACTCAAATGAATCGATGAAAGGAATCAAATAAATTTTTGCAGTGATTCAAAATGTATTTGTACTGTACAGGGACTCAAATGAATCTATGCAAGGAATCAAATGAATCCTCGCATGGAATCAAATTAATTTTTGCAGGCACTCAAAGGAATCGGTGGAAGAAATCAAATGAATCAGTGCCAGGATTCAAAATTAATTTATGCAGGGACTCAAATGAATCAAATAGGGAATCAAATGTATCGGGCAGGGATTTGAATTTACTTTGTGCAGGGAATCAAATTAATTGGTGCATGGATTCAAATTTATTTTTGCAGGGGCTCAAGTGAATTGGTGCAGGAACTCAAATGAATTAGTACAGGGGGAAAAATGAATTTGTGCATATATTCAAATGAACTGAATGACACTTTTGCAGGAACTGTCTGTATGGGTGATTCACCAAAATCACTTTTTATTCAAAAGTCAACTGGGTTTAAACTCGCGTTACTTATTTAAAAGAGTACACTGTAGATTAATGTGTATGTGTGATCCATATGTGTGATCGTAGCTGTTTTTAATGCTACATTATAAGGAACACATTTAAAAGAGAATGAAGGTAGAACAACAAGGATCTGATCATGTTTAATGTGATACAATGTGTTTGAGAAGACTAGGGAAGTGACTGAAAAGGTCTCAAGGGTCAAAGGTTAAGTGCACTCAAGGGACCCTCGGGCCAGTTCTGAGTGTTACAGTTAATTTCATTTGACCAGACATATTGACTCATGACGTGTTTGCATATTTTGTGTAACCGAGTAAGGCACTTCTATTCTTTGCATGTTTTGTGTAACCGAGTAAGGCACTTCTATTCTCATAGTTAACTAAATGACTATATTACTTACATACTCAAACTTACCTTGCGTAGTATTCCTCATTACAAAACTCATAAGATCTTGTGCTCTTTTATATCCCATCATCTCTTTCATGCATGTCTTCTTTTTCATACCTCAATAAATAAATAAATACAGTGTGCAATACGTGAAAAGATTAGAGGGGGGAGTTTTTTAAAGGTTTTTTCCCCCATGAAAAAAAGCTGTTAAATTACCATGAGAACGATTATAGAATAATTATGAATTCTTATTTGATCTTGAGAAACTGTGTATCTTTACATTGATTAGATAGCTTCAATATTTTACCACTGCTTATGATAAATCTTGGTTACAACGACAGCAATTTCTTAATTTCTGTCAGTAGTGCAAAATCATGCCAAATCAATCTGTAATTATTAATATATCGCATTAGAACAACGAGACACATACCTGTTCATAGGCCTATTCAATCGCGTTTTCTCCCATTTATTTGTGATCACATGGCTTCACTAAACAACGTCCACACTTGGAGAAATAACAATGTATTCACACGTTTACATTTATATTTTTTCAGAAAGAATCGTCATTTATATTTATTTCCATTAATTATGCAATCTGGTGAGAATGCAGTGGCGTCAACCACTCTCTGCCTCTCTCTCTTCCGGGATTTCCTCGCAGGCAAATGATTCGCTGTAGATCCATCAATCAATATTGCGTGTTCATAAATCCCACCTTCCGATGACGGGAAACTTTCGCGTTCTGTCTCGAACAAAAAGGTGCGTTCACGCCATATCGGAATTCCCGTAATTACGAGATTACAACTTGTAAAAAGCGTTCACGTCCTCGTAGAACTCGTAATTACAACTTGTGAACTGGGAGTTCCCTTTCATGGGAACTTCGAACTGCGTCCTCTAGGGGTCGCTATGGAGAAACCTAGAGGACGCAGTTCGAAGTTCCCATGAAAGGGAACGTCTCAGGTTACTTATGTAACCATGGTTCCCTGAGTAGGGAACAAGACACTGCGTCCTCTAGGGGTCGCTATGGAGAAACCTAGAGGACGCAGTGTCTCATTCCCTACTCAGGGAACCATGGTTACACAAGTAACCTGAGATGTTTTCTGAGAGCTACGACTTGTACCACGTGACCGCTGTACCACCTGACCACCGAAGGCTCTGTTTAGGCGTTGATAGTGTTGCCATAGAAAAGCATAATTCCGAGTCCGAGGACGTGAACAGCTCCGAGTAGAGCGTCACGTGCTGTCATCTCGAAATTACGGGAATTACAATATGGCGCGAGACGTCTATTTGACGTCTGCATTTACATCTGCAAGACATTTTTTTTTTTAGAGTGTTTGCTCATCTGCAATACATCTATTGGACGATTCCTATCAGATATCAAATAGACGTTTAGAAAATGTCTTTAAGTCCTGATTTAGAATGTATGTAAAACCGATATCTTAGTGACGTCTATCAGATGTTTGTATGCTTTCCAGATGAAGCGATCTTTAACAGACATTTTGCAGATGTACCTGTAAAAATGCTGTTTTATTCTTACCTTTATAATTCACCGAAAAGTCACTTGTCACTTGACTGCAAACCAGATAGCACACGTACATCTGTAAGATGTCTGTTAAAGATCTCTTCATTTGGAAAGCATCTGCTGTGTACAAACATCTGACAGACGTCTTTAAGATGTCATCCTATAGACGTATTGCAGATGAGCAAACACTCTAAAAAATACGTCTTGTAGACGTCAAATAGACGTCTCCGTGATGTACAGTACGTGTGCTATCAGGGAATATATATAATACGAGGATGCGCAACGTAAACAAGTCACAAATATGCAAATTAGAACGTTAATGTGCGGTTTAAACTGAAACGTAAGTTTATAAATACCTAGGATTCCCTAGGTTTACCCAGGTTAACTATTTCAGGTGTGAAAAGCCCCACAGCAAACACTCTAAAAAAAACGTCTTGTAGACGTCAAATAGACGTCTCCGTGATGTACAGTACGTGTGCTATCAGGGAATATATATAATACGAGGATGCGCAACGTAAACAAGTCACAAATATGCAAATTAGAACGTTAATGTGCGGTTTAAACTGAAACGTAAGTTTATAAATACCTAGGATTCCCTAGGTTTACCCAGGTTAACTATTTCAGGTGTGAAAAGCCCCACAGTTTTGAGCAAAACCATAGTGATCTCATAAACGGTCTTACTGATTTCAGCTACTATTGGTGTTTGCTGTCATTCTGAAAATCCACATAATATGGTTAGCCAGTCTGTTAATTACTTTTATAGTAACAAATTATTAAAGCAGCTTCTTCCCTAGACGTCTTTGCCATCCACCATTATTTAACAAGCTGAGCAGAAGTGGCTAACTGATCAGTTAGGAAGGTACAACATCCAATAACAAATCGGTTCACAGCATCCCTGTGGCAGTCATGAATTATGCAGAGGTTTGTTACACACACACACACACACACACACACACACACACACACACACACATTCCTGGTCACACTGAGTAGCGCAAACATGGGCCCCAGGTAGAGCGCTCATCACTCCTGCTGTTCTTCTCCATATGGACCCAATGAACTGGGGAGAGCGGAGAACCACACACACACACACACACACGCCTGCAAATACACATGGGAAGATAGACAGGTGTCGTTCATTTAGCAGCAGTAGCCAGCTGTGTGTCACAGTTGTGTGCCAGATGTCTATAAGACACAGGTGGATGTGGTAAAGACTTGATCGTATAGCTTTAAAAGCTCTTGCCTTCCTATCATTCTTTCTCTCACATTCTACCCTCCATACAGCCATAATGATGTATTATATTATATTGATCTGTGCCATTCTGAGCAGTATGAAGTAATGGTAGACTGAGGGTGGGCACTGTGGTAAATGTAGGAGCTCTCCATGCTGCTGACACCCCTCCTGCTGTAAATCTGAGTATGAATATGTTTGTGTGCAAATGTTAGTTATACACTGCCCAGTACTGTCTAATCTTGCTGTTTTAAATTTAAGTTGGAAAATAACAATCATAAGACTGATAAACCCAAGACATTTTATTTTGATTCATTTCAAACTGGGTCTTAGAAATGAAAATAAAATTCATAGCAATATGTGTGGTGTAGTAAATTTAAAAAATAATAATAAAATAAAAATGCATACCAGTTCGAGATAATTAGGCCAGTTGATATTATAGATGTTGTTATAACTACAATTATCCAAAATAAATACAAACAAGCTCGATCTAAAATTATGCAGATAGCTAATTTACTACTACTACTATTATTATTAAAACTATAATTCTTCATAAAAAATAAATAACAGCTCAATCTTGTTACTCTTTGGACAAATTAACTAAAAAAATTCACGTTTATTTAACACTCATGACATTTGGTTATTCTTTTGCACTCGAACAAAGAAACACACACAAAATAAATGTAATTTGTTGGGATAAGAACTAAAAGTCAAGTGGTTTACATCTATTCAGTTCTCAGTAAACTCAACAGTCTCAGTTGTATTCTTGCCCCCACCTGATGGCCGAATGAAGAACTACTATCTATCTATCTATCTATCTATCTATCTATCCTTGCAGATGTATAAAAGTACTTAGCTCTAATTACAATCAGCCGTCTTTTGCTTGCATATTTCTACCTTGTTTTTGAAAGGGGGAAAAACGATCTGGACAAATGAGTCTTGACCGGCCTTTTAGTAAAACCCCTTTTGATTCCCTCAACGTTGCCAACTACACTCAATTGAGACATCCTCCACACCTGATGTGCTGTATAATGAATGCCTAATTTATGTAATTAGTCCATTAACTGTAATCCCAGCATATGTTCGGCATGCCCTGAAGGCGTCGTTCTCCCAGGTACTTCTTTTTTATGTCACTGAGAAGCAGCTAATTAATTTTACATGCATACTAATATGGGACTCGGCTTAGCGGCTAACCTTTGTATTTATCGCTGTAACCTTTATGGGAAACGGAGGAAATCTTGCAAAGAAAAACAGCAACGACAATACTGTTCCATGTGTTTTTATGGTGATTTGAAATACCACAAAAATCGGTATATTTTGAAACATATTTATTGATTTAATAGCAGTGCCCATGTTATTACAAGCAATTCATTAGTATATCATACCAAAACAACAATAATGCGTAATTAGATGTATACAATAATTACACATAGGCAACTATAACATGAACGTTAAGCATTTAAAATACGATATATTAATAATTTCTTATATCTAAGCCACAGACGCTGAGCTCAGTCTGTTCGCTAGTGTGCGTGTATATAATTGCACCGTGGTTCCTTAAGTTTAAGTTAAGTGACGATACAGCTAACAAACCATAAGCCCCTAATCAAGACAAAGTCCATCAAGCAAATGAGGGCAGTGTGAGATAATAGTGTTTAACTGGATTGGCGCGCGAGCCCCTCCCCTTTAGTTTCGCCCGCCACTAAAGGCTTTTGATCATCGTAATGAGAGCCCTCTGTCTGCTAATTAATTGACATTCTCTTGAATATTCATACGCCATATCGCAAATACGCTCTTAATTGCACCATAAAACATCTCAGGGGAGGCAAATCGCCGCAGACTTCATTAAAACAATGCCGGTCGGACTCGGAAAGGTATATGATGAGTTAGATGTAATGGTCCGACAGGTTACCTGCAACTGTAAAAGCTCTATCCGCAGTTCTGAGCACCTGATCGGGTTTGTCTGAAGATAATGCGCGATAAAAAAAAAAAACGCAAATGCATTATGAATAAAACAAACTTGATTGCTTCAGAGCGTGTTTTTCATAAAAATCGTTTATTATTATTATAAGTTGTGATGCACTGTTGTTAGTGTCTCGAAATAGTCATTTTGATGACATGTTTATACAAATCTTTGCATTAACAATGTCAATTACACCGCCAGCCATTGCTATTTGTTTATTCATTAGTTCTTTGGTAAATCTACATTGCCTGCAGAAAGATGAAGCTAATAATGCGATGAAATACACATGGAGTTGACGGAGAGCTCAGCTGGGTTCTGCTCGACAGCATGACATGCACTAACGGCCAGCAGCAATAATAATAATAATAATTATTATTATTATTATATGCCAGTAATATTTATTATATCACAGCTGTATCTTTTGGATGACTGATATGAATATATCTGACGATATTCAATTATTTGTATGTCTATTACGTTAGTCATGTAAAAATGACTCGAATATACTTGTGATGCACGTTTAACATTTTAAATGAAATGTCACTTTTTACATTTTTCATACTGATATTGTTTTGTGGGACTTAAGGTCAAAAATGACTGCAACTGTAAAAAGTCGTCGTAAGGGAATGTTGACATGAGTAGTTTGGTATAAATTTTTATTCCTTGTAGAAAAAGCAAAGCGGTTTCTATTGATAGTACTATTTAAAAATGTTATTATATTTTTCAAAATATTATTGTTTTTATTTTTACATTTCGTATATTTTGCCTATTTGATGACAAGGCACGTTTTGATCAGATCACATGGAGTACATTTGCTGAAATTAATGACTCGATAGTTCATGATTTTAGTATTAAAAAATATTGTTGTTTGTTTGTTTGTTTGTTTTGGGGGGGGGGGGGTTTGCTTCTGACTCTTTCATTCGGT